GATAACCTAATTTTAAGAAGTCATTATTATGCTAACTTCTCTAAAACAAAAAAGAATTTTGATTATTTTTAATAGTGGAATCCTACGACCCTACTAAAACTTTCTATATACTTCTTTTTTGTTTATTCGTAGTAGTTTCCTTTTTTTAAAAAAGTACTTTAAACTGAATAAATAATCTAAAATAAATTGATTTAAACAGCCAATCATACGAATGTCTGCCTATGATACTGCAGGTATAAACGTCTCATGATCATGTAGTTTGGTGATCAACTGTTTTTAGTAAATATAATATAATTAATTTAGTGATTGTAATATATAAGGGAAGAAATCGGTATCTTTTTTCTCAAATTCTGGACCGACCTGCATTTAATATTTTTTATCTTAAACTTACATAATTACGTCCATATTTTTTTATACCGACCTTAGTTAAGATTAATCTGGTTTAAAGTTTTACTGAAACGCTATAAAAAAAAATCGCTTGGAATTGTTCGGAAAATTCTGAAATTATTCGATTTTTTGTTTGGAAAATCGACTCCATTTTGAATATTTAAAGGATGTTTATTGGATAAATGCGTTTTTTATACGTTTTTTTATATGGTCAAAATTTCCTATTTTTTACGTCCCATACAAACATCGTTATGAAAACAGTACAAATATAAACCCTGTTCGGAAATTCGACTCTGTTCTGAACATTTTTTTGGACAATGCCTACAATAACAGTACAAATTTTTTTTATAGGGAAATAGAACGCTACTGAACATATGTATCGGGTATTTTAATTATTTTTTAAATTTTTTTTTGATTTTTTAATTATTAAACCATCATTTAACCCTATCCTTTTTTTTTAACCTACTCAATTGTTATCATATTGTACTTTAATTTTTTATGTGATTAAAAGTTGGGCATAAAATTTTCCAATGAAAGTTTTAGGCAAATAGATAATACAACAAAATGAAGGTGAAAGTGTATTTCGACGTCAGTAAATGAGATATGTAAGGATGAGATAAAAATTCTATTTTCTTTTATGCAATTATAAAAATTTTAATTATAGTATTAATTAACTTAGCATAATTTATTTTATAGTATCAAGGCTTCTCTGTAAACAACATTCCTTATGTAAACACCTTCTCTTCCTTGAATCACACTGTTCTCAACTAAAACTTTAAGCCTACGCATTTCACGAACTCTCGACATAGCTACATACAACTGTCCATGTGAAAAAACAGGTTGTGGAAGATAAAGTCTGATGTAAGGTAACATTTGCCTTGTGACTTGTTGATGGTAAGCACAAATGCTAAATGTATAGGAAATTGTTTATGTTCCATTGCAAAGGGTAGCCCTGCCTCTTTAGATGGAAAGAGAGGGATTCTTGAGATAAACACACGTTTACCTCAATGTTTGCCTATTGCTATTTCAGCATCGATTGTATGTGTTTGCAGATTGCAGCAGATAAGTCTCGTCCCGTTGCAGAGACCATTGACTGGGTCCAAATTTCGGGAGCAACATTATAGGTACACCAACTTTTAGGTGGAGGAAGCCCTTGAGGCGTTAACGAATTAAGGTACTCAATTGGGTAAAGATTCAAAGTATCGTCGAGTACTGAATCGAAGCTATAGAATATATGCTGCTCTCCAGGAAAATTATGCACGATTTGTTCATTAATTTCATCAACGGTGGAGTTTAATGGTGTTAGTATTGCCTTTTCCGTAATAAAAGCCATATATGTTGCATTTATTGATAAGTTAGGATAGACAGCATTTAGAAGTGAATTGATAGGATAATCGCCATTTTGTGAACAAATTATTATTTTGTCAGAAAGCTGAATTATGTCATTTCCAATCATAGATTCAGTACCATCGCCTATCCTAAGCAAATATTCTGCAAATACTTGTGCTTCTTGATTATTAGTTTGGGCAACTCACATGTTGGCAATTAAGATGAACTACGAACATGACTTCAGAGATATGACTTGTTAAGAGCTGTGTTGACTATTTGGGATCTTGAACCTTTGAGAACTACAGACAGAACTTGCCTGAAATCTCCTTCAAATAAAACTATTTTATTACCAAATAGAAGGTCGCCCCATGATATCTCTAAATGTTCTATCGACAGCTTTAGAAGCGTAATGCTTTGTCATTGGAACCTCGTCCCAAATAATAAAAACTGCTTCTTGAATTAATCTAGCAAGGTCACTCCCTTTTTTAATATTGCAAGTAGAGTTTCCGTTTAATATAATAATAGGTATTTTGAATTGAGAGTAAGCAGTGCACCCACCACGTAATAATAACGTGGTTATTCCGGAAGACACTACTGCTAGTGTGATTCGATGATTTGCTCGTATATAATTGAGAAGGCATTCGTATAAATAGGTTTTTCCACTTTTTGCCGAGCCATCAACAAACAGTATGCCTCCTCAGTTTTGATTTATAAGATTCAATACTTCATCAAATATCACACATTGAGCTTCGTTCAAAGTTGATATCTTGGCAAGATCGTCGGGAGTGATTTGATAATTTAATTCATGTAGGAGTAATTCAGATAATTCACTATTAGCTTCAGGTAAAAGCTCCGGTAGATCAAAATTACCACCATTTTTTGAGTGTCTACGTAATATTAGATTTAGACTTTGAAGGACTGCTTAAAATCTACGCGAACTATCTGGAATTCCTCTATAAGCGAAATCTTCAGCCATCGCATCAAAATTTTCACTCCATAATTGATGTATATCCACAACGTTTCCAGAGTAACAAAAAGATTGCGCAATTAGTGAGGCATTCGAAATTCTCTTACTTCTGCTATGCAAGATTGATGTTCGTTATCGTTTTCAAGAAAGCCTCTATGCTGAGCACTTTTTTTGAAAGAAGAATATGTGACACCATCTACCGTTCTAAGCTCTTCAAAACTTCTGGAGCCTTTTATCTTTGTTAACAGTAAGTGTAAATAATATCTCTCGCCTGAAATAAATAAGCGATTAACAACTAAAAATTTATCTAATAATAACAAAATACTCAAAATAATATACCTAATTTACCTTCACTCGATGAGCCATATAGATTCTCCCGATGCACCCTCCACATTTATGTTTTCTCCATGTTTTGGTTTTTTTGACCCATGTATAATATAATGGAAAATTGGCATATAATATATCTCTCGCTTCTGGGTCTTGAGCATTCATCTTAAAATACTCAGTAAGCATTATTCGCATATTTTTCTCTGATGCAGCCTCGTCCTCTAAATTACTACTTTCTTCAAAAATGACTCTTTGTTGATTGGGTAAATGAACCTGTAAATGTGTAACTGCAGGCTTCATTCCATTCATTTAAAACCCGCAAATTCTCCAAGCTGCTTCTGGGGCAGAAATTCAATGTGCTTTAACAAAGTTTCAAATTTCATCTATTAAAATGGGGCATTCTCGTGTCTCACGATTTTGCCGATCTGCAGTCACTTCTATCATTGCTCTATCATATCCTTTATAGACATATTTATATAAGTATTTAACTGCTTTAATGCTAGCGCAAATTTCGATGTTTATATGGCAATTATACTTGGCACATAGAAAGTTGTTATATGGAACAATCCACCGATTATCGACTTTAACCATTCTATTACAAACTCTAGTCATAATATACCAATAATCTTGCCGGCATCGGTATGTTGGATATGAGTTTGCTCACTGAAGAGTTTCACTTTGAAACTGTTTAAAATAGCCTTTACTGCATTTCTTGTATCCCATACCATTCTCAACCATGCATGGTGCATTATAATTAAGCTCGCCACATGGTCCATGAATCATATTAGAAGTAACTGTGGCATATGCCCTTGGGTTAACCAATTAATCAGGTATCTCAGCACAGACAATTGCATCGTAATCTTCAGGTGTCCTCAGGTGGTCTTCTGAATAGAGTATAATTAAAATATGAGCGTGAGGAAGCCCACATTTTTGGAATTCAATAATGTGAACGTGTTTAACTGTGCACCCAAAGATATTGCATTTGAAAAGATCCTTTTTTAATTCTTGGAGTTTTTTCCAAAAGACACGTGCTAACGAAGTAAAGAAACAATAGCTTAATACAAAGAAGAAAAAAGTGAAATGAAAGCAAAATAAATAACAAAAAACTAAAAAAAAAAGGATAGGGTTAAATGATGGTTTAATAATTAAAAAATCAAAAAAAAATTTAA